CACGGCGGCACGCGGCGCAAACGCTCTCCACCGTAGCGGCGCGGGTTGTCCGTCGGTTCCCTCCTCCAGATGTGCGGGAGTTCCCGTCGCTCCTCGCACGTGTCGTCCAGCCTCGCGGGGTGTTTGCAGCCGTGCCTCGCCAGGGCCTTCCCGGGGGTGCCCCGTCCCAGGCGGCCCGCGTGGGGGCCCGCACGCCCGCCCTCCTCGCGTCGTGGACAGATCACGACGGAGGGTTCTTGGCTGGCTTCGGCTTCTGGGGGCCATCAGCGCGCCGCAGCCCCGGGACCGTCGGATCCGCCGGAGCGGCGTGCGAGTTGGTTTCAGAGGGCCTGAGCGAAGCTGCAGCCTGCGGCCTGAGCTTCAGCTGGCTCTGCTGTGTGTGTGTGTGGGGTGGGGGGTGGGGGGGGTGGGCACACCCTGCTCCGCCTTGAGCTCCGCCTGTGCTCCGCCTGTGCTCCGTTTTCCGGGCGGGGCCGGGGCTCTCAGAGTCCCACCTTGGAGGGCCCAAGGCGGCCGCCAGATGTTTTCCCCGACGGCTCCCCTGGGGACTGGCAAGAGGCGAGATGTCGTTTAAGGTGTTGTTTGGGATGTGGCAGCGGCATGATGTCGTTTGAGATTTCGTTCGGGATTTATCGGTGGCAAGATTTCGTTTGAGTTTTTGCTTGGGCCCCAAAGTGTCTCGGAAGATTTCATCGGAGATCCGTTTGGAGATTCTCTCGCGGCAAGATCTGGTTTGAGATTTGGTTTGAAACTCTCTCTCTCTCTCGGCAAGATTCGGTTTGAGTTGTTTTGAGATTCCTGGGGGAGCGAGAGGTCTTCCATTCACCCGATCTAACTCAAGATGGACCCGAGATGGCCCAGGATGCCTTCAAGATGGCCCAAGAGCGCCCCAAAGACGGCCACAGAGGCCTGAAAGAGGTCCTCAAGGAAGGCCCAACGAGGCCTAAATCATGTACATCTTAGGCGATGCTCAAGAAAACTTAAGTTTTCGGCCAGAGTCTCGATTATTCTTAATGTCTCAATTTAATTCCTAAGATTTTGATAGAAATTCGGGGTTTTAATTAAATTCTGAGGCTATGAATTTCTTAACCCATGATTTCTTAAGCATTTCGCAGGGTGTATGTGCTCGATGTTTTTGAAAGATTCGAGCGCTGTATCCTTTCCCGCCCTCCGACGGCCCAAGACGGTCCCAGAGGTCCCCAAGATCGCCCCAGAGGCCTCCGAGATGGCCCCACGACGGCCCAGGCGGCTACCAAGACGGCCCCGGGAGGGTCCCCCGACGGCCCCACGGGCCTCCAAGACGGTCAAGACGGCCCCCACTGCGGCCGGGAGGCGCCCCCCGGGGGCTCCCAGACGGCCGAGCGAGGCGCCCAAGACGCCCTGCGACAGCCAAAAAGGCCTCCGAGGTTCGCCCAAGAGGCTCAAAGATCCCCCCCTCGCGAGGCCGCCTCCTGCGACGGCCCCACGAGGGCCCCAGGACGGCCCAACAAGTAGGCCTCCAAGCGAACCCCGGCAGCATCGGGAGCTTGCAGGATCGGCGGCGCTGGCCGGAGGCCACTACAATAACGACTCTGGATGGCGATCGCTTTCTTGTTCACTGTCTTGTCGATCGGCGCGGACCCTCGCACCCCCCCCCCTCCCCCTCCCCATGGAGCAGATCTTGGCTGTTTTTGGCGCTTGTTTCGAGCAGGCGGGGTCTCCCTCACAGGACGCACTGTTGCAAACAGTCGCGTTTAGCAGAGGTCTGGAGCCAGACCCCCCCTCTCCCCCCCTTCCCCCCCAATGCCGAAACGCCAAAAAAGAAGCGCTCACATAGGAAGCTGGCCCCGGCGCGGAGGTCCAGATCTCCAGGGGGCCCTCGCTGTGACAACAGTCACGGCGTCAGAGTTCTTGGGGCGTTGCGGCCCGCTGCTCGTCAGGAGGGAAAGAGCAAACAGAGACACAATGAATCGCAAATCGCCAGGAGAATAGGGGGAAATATGGGAAGTGGGGAGGGGACGACGAAAATCCAGAAACTATGAGAAAAGATTGGGAACCTTTGGATTTGTGTATGCATTTATTTGTGTGTCCCTGGGCCTCTTCAGATCGGGTCGGACGCAGGGGGTAAGGGGTGGGGGATCCCGAAGATCTGGGCGCTTTGGGGAGCGCGGGCCCTCACGGATCGATCTGGCCGGGGAGGTGCCGCGGGCCAGGGGAAGGATGGGATCGTGGTCTTTGGCCGCGATTGTTGACGCTGTTTCCTCTTTTCCGTGGCGTCGGGTCTGCGGGACTGCGTACAGTGCCGTTTTTGATACATGCTCCGCGTGCGGATCATGTATTGAAAATGCCGGGATCTAGTATCCAAAACAACGACGAGTTCATGCATCGATTCAGTCATACATTAGTCATGAATGAAGCATCCCATGTTAAAAAACAAATTCTATGTATTAAAAACAGCCCTGTAGGAAGCGGGGCGTTGCGAGCTTCCTGCGGTGCGCCTCCCGCTGCGGCCCCGCCGCGGGGCGCCTCTCCTCGACCCGCCGGCGGTGCTCTGGCGCCAGGAGGCGCCGGGGAGATCGGCCATGGGGGCTGCGTCGCCAGGCCCCCCTCCTGCCCTGACTCCGGATCCGCCCTACTTTCGGGGGCGGAAAAGAGGGGGGTGATGACTAGGGGGGGGTGGATTTCATGGCGGGGGCCATGATATCTCCCCAGATTTCGTGGCGCCTCTTCTTACTTCATTACGTCCCAGGCCCCCCCGCTGGGCCGCGCACATGCCGCCGGTCATGATTTGCACCCCCCCTCTTGGACACCCCCCTCTTGGCCGCTCCCGATACTTTGGCTTTTTTTCCAATTTAAAATTGCGTCGGAAATCCACCCATAAGAGGCCGAAAAAGTAGGGCGGAAAGTGCTGCAGCCAACCTAAAATAGGGCGGAAACCCACAGAAGCAGCAACAGAAACGTAGGGCGGAAATTGGCATCAGCGGGGCTTGAAAAGCAAGGCGGAACTTCCAAGCCCCACTTACGAATTTCCCCAAAGTAGGGCGGATCCGGAGTCAGGGTGTTCAGGGGCCGCGACAAGGGGGCGATGGGCTCAAGGGGGAACGCATCGACCTCTCAGAGGTCGCTGCTTTTTTATACCATGAAAAAAATTACGCCAGAGGAACGCCCCAGTCAGCGCAGGGTTCGAAAGTCAGTAGCATGGATATCGAGATCGATTTGTGAGATCAGCAGTGGAATCGATAGTGAGGACGATTGTAAGGTCGATTGTGCGACCGAGAGCGAAGTCGATTCAATGAGATCGATAGTGAGATCGATGGCGAGTTCGCCCGTACGATCTACAGTGAGATCGCTTGTGAGATCGATCGTGAGATCGATTGTGAGATCGATGGTGAGATCGATAGAGAGGTGGGTAATTAATGAGATCGATGGTGAAACCGATCGATAAGAAGATCTACCAGGAACCCGGGAACCCGGGAACCTCGCCGCCCTCCGAAATCGGCCCGGAACCTATAAACGGGAACCTGGGAACCCAGCGTGCGACCAAAATCGGCAGGAAATGTTCGCCAATTTTTTCTACTTCTGCGAGGACCCCTTCAGTGCAAGCACTGATTGGGGAACATACTCATCACAATAATAATACCACTATTCATGCGAATATAGCATTCATGCTAATAGTGCTACTCATACTAACTTCCCTGGCGATCACGGACGTGACCGTGGGAATGGATGGGGAGGGGGGCTGATGGGGGCTGGTCACATCACGACTCGCGCCGGCGCCGTCCAGGAGTTCTTAGGGCTCACCGAAGGCAGCTCGGATGGCAGAGGCATCTCGGGATCTGCTTCGGCAAAGCGCGCACCAGGCTATGTGTATGCAAGGACGTTGCTCTGGATAATTCTGGACGCTTCCCGTGACCGCACCAGCCCATCCAGAAACGATGCCCAGGCGAGTTACCCTGATCAATGTGGAGGAGCATGCAGTGGATTCAAAAGCTGTGGAAGCCGTCATACCCGAAGAGGGGGAGGATGGAGGAGGAATCGGAGGATGGGGAGAGTGGGAGCCCTCTGGGGCCTCTTTGGGGTTTCTCGGGAGCCTTTTGGGAACCTCTTGTGGGCCTCTTGGGGCCTCCTGGGCGCCTTTGGGGACCCTCTCAGGGCTCTCTTGGGGGCCTTGGGGGCCATCTTGGAGGACTTCGATCTAAGAAGGGGGGCGGTTCCAATTAGCTCTGCCCCCCCAGAGGGCACAATTTGCCCAAAACCGATATAACATCTTAGTTCTTGCCCCTCTAGCCGATGCCTTCTTGGACGCTCCAATCGGTCGCGAACCCCCCGTCCAGGTTCTGGGTGGGGGTTCGGAGAAGGGGTCAAGACACCCTCCTCGCCCGCAAGCTGTCTCGCTCACTCCCACCGGCCCTCCTAATACAGAAGTAGCACCCGGGCCTCGGCATGTTCAGCGGCCGTTTTTGGTTGGCCAGCACATGGAGTCCCAAAACAGATCCTAATTACGTGCGCAACGCTCGCGTGCCAGGCGCGCCACGCGCGTCAGGTGCGCCAGGCACCCCTGTGGCCCAAGCGTGCCAGGCACGCCTGGTACGCTAGATGCACCGCGTGATCCACGTGCGCCATTTGTGCCGCATGCTCCAGCCGGGCCAGGTGCGCCACGCTCGGGGCACGCCCAGAGAGTGCCAGGTGCGCCTGCACACGTGGCAGTACACATCGGAAACGCGTCGGCCCCCACCGCCCTTGTCGAAAACAGGCGCTGGGGCGGCCATCGTAATGTTTGGTGGGCCTGCACATACCAGGCAAGGTTCAGCATGGTGTCTTGTTGTTTGACAGGGGTGCTGGCACTGGGCGCAGCATGAGATATGCGGGCACCCCCGCCGTCGGTGTCAGAAAGGTGTGCTCGCGGGCCCCCCGATCATGACCCAAGATGTTGCTCCAAAGTGGATTCCACGTTGTTTTTTGACACGGACGGTGCGTGGGGGTCCTTATTGGTCCTGGTTGGCTGCCAGTCGACTGGGGAAGGAGGTGTTTATTACTAGGGAGCAGTGCTAAACCCTTCCCCAGAGGGGAGCAAAGGGTGTTGGAAGATCCCTCGCCATTTTGGTTCAAGCGCTTCTGGCCCGAGCGCCCAGACCGACGCGAGCTGACCAGAGGCCTGGAACCAGCGAAGCGCCATGGAGAAGGCAGCCGGTATGCCTTCGAAAGCCCTCGGCCTCAAGGGGGATAAAACCAGCAGGGAGACCGTGCCGGTCGGCAAAGGCGGGGCCAATCGCTACAAGAAGGTGCTTCGTGACAACATCCAGGGCATCACGAAGCCTGCGATCCGCAGGCTTGCGCGCCGCGGCGGTGTGAAGCGCATCAGCGGCCTCATCTACGAGGAGACGCGCGGTGTCCTGAAGCAGTTCCTGGAGAACGTGCTGCGCGATTCGATCACCTATACGGAGCACGCTCGCAGGAAGACGGTGAGCCCACTGGACGTCGTGTACGCGCTGAAGCGCCAGGGCCGCACCATATACGGCTTCGGCGTCTGAGCCGAGGGGGGCAGGTCCGACGCCCTCAGCTGACGGGAGACTTCGCAGTGCCTGCGGCGTCGTCTTCACCCGAGGAGCGTACTGCGCGCGGCTCGGACAGAGGCAGGCCGCTGGCAGTGAGGTGCTTTTGGGGTTGGCGCTTGTTCTCTGCCTCGGGGCCCCATAAACCACGCTTCGATCACAGCCTGCGCGTCCTGAGACTGGTCAGGGCAGTGCTGCTTCGTGCGCATTTGGGGCTGCGCAGTGGAGCGATGGGCACCACCGCCGCAGCCGCCTTCTCGCGGCTCGGCCGTGGTTCACCCCGCGGCGCACGCGCCCGTGTACGAGTGAATTGCCCGTCATTGGACCCAGCGTGCCAGAAATTAAGGGGGTCTGAACAGGAAACGCTCTAAACGACTCACGCCCTAAACTGCTGGTGAGACTACGGAGAGTCAAGCGCAACGCAGGGGATTCCTGATCATCGAATATGGCTTTGCTTGAACTTTCCTTCCTCTCTCCTCCTCCTCCTCCTCCTTCCACATCGCTCATCCCGCCTCACTCCTCCTTCACCCCGTCGTTGTCGTCGTCGTCGTCTTGCTCCTCCTCACATCGTCCTCGTCCTCCTCATTGTATTGCAAGGTGCTTCGCACAAGGACGGACAAACAAGTTGGGAGGAGGAAGGGAGGCGGGGCCAGGGAGAAACGACATGCTTGATTATTACTCTTCTGTCATCGGTTCGTGCTCTTGCAGGTGGGTTGGCGCTTACTGGGCCCGAGGTGGAAGTGGCCTCGGTGTCGTCGTCGTCCTCGTCCTCCCCATCCTCCTCCTCTCGTCGTTCTCGCCATACTTCCGGTCTGAGCCTTTTCCCTTGCAGTGTTGCCTCTTCGGGGACTCTTTTATTCCAACGAAGAGGGACATTTGTCTTCTGCGTGTTTCGTCCCGAGAAGCTGTGTACACGTATGCACCTGCCGAGGCCAGCCTGGGCGAGAGCTGGATGCAGATGTGGCCGCAGGCCTCTCCAGGGCTGGGCCCTTGCGTGGCAAGTGCGCTAGCCTTGCGCACGTGTCTCCTGCAGCTGGTCTCCACATGCTCCGCATGCGATTCCAGCCTTTCGTGGTTCCAGCTCCTTGGCCCTCGATCGTAATCCGATCATTCCGAAGTTGTTGTTGGTCGCATTCGATCGTAAACCGGTCAGTCGAAATACCGTCAACGCGCCTAGTAAGGACGCGCGCTTTCATCAAGGGTACTTTTGTGTCCTTGCCTCTGCGCAGCGCCCTTTGCCGTTTTCGCTGGTCGCCCGCCGCCCCACAAGATCACAGCTTAGGCCTCCGAGGATCTTGCGTCCTTGCCACCCGTCCTTAGTACACGCTTTGACTGTAAGGCAATACGTTTTTGTTGAGGTCGAGTTGAAAGTGGCCCGCGTGTATTCCATGTGTACTTGCGCCAGTTCGCACGACCCCAGGCCCAAAGGTGCGCCCAGGCGATGTGGTGCACGCAGATGAGGCTGCGGCACCCGTGGTGTGCGCGCACAGCTTTGCGCAATTCATCAACTCAGCTGCCTTGATACGCCCGTTGTGGGACGCAGCACGTGCCGTTTTCTTTCATTGGCTCAGCGTGTGGGCCCGCGTTTTGGCGAACGTATCGCGTCATATTTCCGTTTTCAGTCTGCGTGTTGAGCTCTGTATCCATACGTTACGTGCTGCGTGTTGCGTATCGGGGCAGCTACGTTCATCTATTTCCAGCATCATAGGGAGGAAGACGGCGACTGGAGGAGGAGCGCGATGGTGAGGAGGGATGGACTACGACGACGAGGCCATTCCCCCCCGTGGTGTGCGCGCACACTTTTGCGCAGTTCATCCATTCACAGCACAGTAGGGAGGAGGACGGCGACTGGAGGAGGAGCGCGATGATGACGAGGAAGGAGTCACGACGAGGACGCCAGTTCACCCCTCGGGCCCCCACGGGCGCCCCGGGTCCTCCCAGAGCACGGAGCAACAAGACAGAGACGAGTACTCAAGCGGGTCGCTTCGGCCTGGCCACGCCTCCCGGCTCCTCGCCCCATCCCTCCTGCCTCCTCTCTTCATGTTTTGTCCTTGCGCACAACACCCCACACAATACAATGAACAAACGGGGGCGACGAGAGGAGGATTAGGAGGAGGAGGAGGAGGACGACGACGGGGGGAAGGAGGAGGGAGGAGGGATGAGAGAGGAACGAGGAGGAAGGGGAGCAGGGAGGGGAGAGGAGGGAGCACGCAATACGTATTGCGAAGGCCTTACGGCCGGTGCCGCCGACCCTGAGAACGACGAAGATGAAAACAAGGGGGGGGGCAGGGGGAGGAGGCTGAGTGGGAGGTGTAGGAAGGGTGGAGGAGGTGGATGAGGGAGGAGGAGGGGGGAGAAGGATGTGGAGGAGAAGCAAGAGGAGGAGAAGGAGGCAGAGGAAAGCAGGAGGAGGGGGAGCTGATGGGGGCGGGGAGGAGGAGGAGGAGGAAGAGGAGGAGGCCAGAGGCTTTCTTGGGACAGCCTGGGGCTCTCATGAGGCCGTCTTGGCCCCTCCAGGGCTCCTCTTGCGCCGTCTCGGGGCACTCTTGAAGGCCTCCTGGGCAATTTCGGGCTCTCCCGGGCTGTCTTGGGGCAATCTTGGAGGCTTCTTGAGCCGCCTTGAGCTGACGGAAGCCCGGAGCGAAAATCTTTCAATAATTTAAGGAGGTTGCTGATTTTTGTCTTTTCGAGTACTCCAGAGGTCCTGTTGGAGCCCTCTTGGGCTGACTTGGGCCATCTTGGCGGCCTTGGTGGCCTTCCTGGGCCGTCTTGGATTCCTCCGAAGACCCTCGTGGGCAAGCTTGGGGCTCTTTTGGTGCGGTCCTGGGCCATCTAAGGCCACTCTTGCACCGTCTTGATGCCGGCTTGGAGGCCTCTTGGGTCACTTCGGGGGTCTTTTGGGCCGTTTTGGAGCAATCTTGGAGGCTTCTAGGGCCGTCATCAGCGGACGGATGTTCGCAGCGAGAATCGTTCAGAAATTGTGCAGGCAATCGGTGATTGTTGCTTCTTCGGACCTTCTGGGGGATCCTTTTGGAGCTCTCTTGGGCGGTTTTGATGGCTTCTTGGGCCGCCTTGAGGTTATCTTGGGCCGTCGTGCCGTCTTGGGGCCATCGCTCTTTCGGGGCCATCGTGTCCCTCTTGGAGACTCTTTGAAAGCCATCTTGGGGGAATCTTGGCCGGCTTGGCGGCCATCTGGCAGGTCCTGGAGCCGTCTTGTGGCCGTCTTGGGGCCCTCACGGGCTGTCTTGGGGCCATCGTGGAGGCGTCTTGAGGCGCTCCTGAGGCGATCTCGGGGGCTTCTTGAGCCGTCTCGGGCCGTCTGCCGGCCAACAAGGAGCGAAGCTCGAGAAGCATGGGAAACATGAAGAAAATCCAGGTGTTTCGTTTCTTCGGGCCTCCCGGGAGGTGTCCTTGGAAGCTTTTTTCTGCAGTTTGGGAAGACTCTGGCGTGGGTGAGAGTCCTGAGGAATGCGTGCTGGGGCGCGTTTCGATACAGTGAACAAACGGGGGCGACGAGAGGAGGATTAGGAGGAGGAGGACGACAACGACGGGGGGAAGGAGGAGGGAGGAGGGATGAGAGAGGAACGAGGAGGAAGGGGAGCAGGGAGGGGAGAGGAGGGAGCACACAATACGTATTCTATTTCAGCCGTACCCTACGTTGCGACGAGCTCTCCATGGCTATCCATCGCAAATTCTTACGTATCAGTACCCCGGTACACGCTCTGCCCCAGCACATCCCTACAGATCCGTTGTCCGAGCTGTCTGGGTTATTCACGGGCGTTCCCAGACGGCTCCGGCGCGAGTCGTTAAGTGTGTGTGTGTATGTGTGTGTGTGTGTGTGTGTGTGGGGGGGGGGGCCGCCGCCTTCGTCTTTTCCTTTTCTTTTGCACGCCAGACAGTTCGTCTTCCGGCTGCCCCGAATACCCACACTCTTTCGAGAGGACTGCCTCTGCGTCGCCGCCGACGGAAAACGTGTGGGGGGCCGGTCACGGGCGCTGTCGCGAATGATCGGAAAGTGGCTCTGATCGCCCATGAATCACCACCCACCAAACCACCCCAACCCAACCCGAAGGCCTCAACTTGCCCTCCATTTCCAGTTGGGGGGGGGTCGGGGAGCATCGAAAAAACACGTATGGAACCCTTACCCCCCCAACCCGAAAGTCGGGTCTTCGGGTTGGGTTGGGGTGGTCTGGTAGGTAGTCAATGAATCGCCGAGACGGCTCTGACGGCCCATCTCGCCAAGGGACGTGCGGTGTCGGCATCGAAGGCCTGCCGCCGGTCTATCGGCGATGTACCGCCGATTCCAGATCTACTCCGCATCCCGTCTCCTCCTCGTCGTCCTCCTCCTCCTCCTTCTCCTCCTCCCCCTTATCCTCTCACTCCTCCTCCTCCTCCTCCTCCTCCTCCTCCTCCTCCTCCTCCTTCTCCTCCTCCTCCTCCTCCATCTCCTCCATCATCCTCCTCCTCCTCCTCCTCCCCTCCTCCTGCCTCTCCTCCTACTCCTCCCTCTCCTCCCTCCTCCCTTCCCTCCTCTTTCCTCCCTCTTCCCTCCTCCCTCCTTCTCATCCCTCCTCCGTTCCTCCTCCTCCTCCTCCTCCTCCTCCTCCTCCCCTCCTCCTCCTCCTCCTCCTCCTCCTCCTCCTTCTCCTCCTCCTCCTCCTCCTTCTCCCCTCCCCTTCCTCCTCCTCCTCTCCGCCTCTCCTCCTCCTCCTCCTTCTCTCATCCTCCCCCTCTCCGTCCCCCTCCTTCTCCTCCATCCTCCTCCTCCTCCTCCTCCTCCTCCTCCTCCTCCTCATCATCATCATCCTCTGTGTTTGGCGCAATGACGTCCACCTATGTGACAAACCTCTTCACCCACATCCACATGCAGCCCGCCATTTGGAGATTGACAATGGCAAGGCCCGGTTCCGGGATCCTATCCTCTTTGAGGTCATTCTGGCTGAGGCCAAGAACAAGCAATTCGCAGTTCAACGCGGAGGACTGCGATGTCACGGTGTCCACCTCCTTCGCTCCTCGACAGCGTGGCGACACGGACTCGATGCGTCACGGAACCAGTGCGTCCGGGAAGTGTCGGAATGCACGCTACCGGAATGTGTGGGTGGCATCTTCGAGGCTCGTGCACATGCCTGGCGTCAAGATTTGCTCCGACATAAATGTCTCGACCATCATCTGCGACCCCGCCAAGAAGCAGGCTGCGATCCACGAATATTGGGCCGACGAATTCCTCGCCAGGCCTACGGCCTATGCGGCACAATCCGCACTGCTCGAACTACACGTCCCAACTGCGGCACAATCGCCGTTGGGACGTTTCTGACTGAAGGCCACCAGATACTACGACGTACCGCGCCTACCTCATGCACCGGGGTCGCTCAGCACCTGGGCCAGATGGAATCCCGTACCCAGCACTGCTCAAGTCTACGGTCATCGAGGCTATTGCGGAACTTGCTGGCCTCTGCTACCAAAGCATTCTTCCATATCGTGCGATGCCTTTTTCTTCGCTTGCTACGCCGCCCAAGGGGTAGCACGATCATGACACCGTTGAGGTCATCTGCACTCCAGAACCTTCGGCCGCTGAGCGGCCGCAGCGCAGACGCCAAGACTGTCGCCGGCGGCATGGCCCTCATGATGAACCCCTTTCTCACTGCCCAAGCCCCGCCCGAGCAGCGCGGCTTCGTGAAGCATCGGCAGTTCACCGACAACATCGTGGAGCTGGACGCGCATATGGTCCAAGCCTCCTACCGCCCGCCGGGCACTTTCCCCCCATCGGCCTGGCGACGGACAACGGTACGGCCTTCGTGTCCATAGCCCACAGTTGGTAACTAAAGGTCCTCACGTTCCGTGGCTGGCCCGACCTCGCAATCGGTCTGTTCCGTCACTGTTATCTCTATCGAGGTGCCTTGGGTCCCAAGCCGGGGTCTTGCAGGGGGACCCGCTCAGTTCCACCTTCTTCGTCCTGGGAACCGACCCTCTCGTGCTTGGGCTTCGCGCAGCTGTTCTGACTACGTGTACCTTCAGGACGTGCGCAGACGATGACGGCATCCCCTTGTGGGACATCCGCGCCATGATCCCTGTTCACAGCCTCTATATTCTCGGCAAGCGCGCGACGTGCCTTGACGAGAAACTGAAGAAATGCGTTATGACACCTACGGGATCGCGCTTCACACCCGCAGTGGTGGATCTCATACGGGAGCGGAAGAACCTACATCTATCATATTGGGTTCCACTGCGCATATATTCATATTTCGAGTGCCTCGGAAAGCTGCTTGGCCAAAAAACCGAGGCCACGCAGTTGACAAAGCTTGCCGACAAACTCCAACACCGCCTGATCCAGCTCGGCTAAGCTCACGAGTCCATGACCCAGAACATCCTTGAGCACAACACTCGTATCCAGACTGTCTTGAGTTACAAGCTCCAGTTCGTGGATCCGCCGTGCATCCTGGTCAACCGGCAGGGTTCTATAATTGCGACGCCATTTCGTTTTCCTCGTGAAGCTGTACCCGCCTGGGCCGGATACCACATTCATGAGTTGGGGCTCCAGCAGGTTACGCAGATCGAAGGGCATTGCGTATCATGGCTCAGTTTGCTCATACCGCGTGTTCAGCGTGGCAGAGCGTCATCAACAATCTTTCGGAAGAGAGCGAACGAGCATCTAGGGGTCGTCCAGTCGACGAGTTCTCTCATTGTCAGCGGGTGCAAAGCCACATTGCCTTCTTTGAGTCTCGAGCGAGCGGCTGCTACGCACCACTCGTGGCATCGCTGTGGTCATCTTGCCGCCGTACTCCATGACTGGCGTCGTGGACGTTTGCTGCAGCGGCGCCTGCAGCGTGCGGTGCAGTGTGCAGTCCACAAGGGATGGTGGGTGTCTGCTTGGCCCTCGCTGATCTTGAAGGATGCAGGATGCACGAACCCACCTGGCACGTCTGCTACGTCTGTGGCCACCGTGATGCGGACCAGAAACATGATTTCGAGCGCGACGGCTTCTGGAACCTCTTCGAGTTGGCCAGACTCGATTCAGACCTCGACCCGTGAGCGGCTAGGGCGGTGCACCGTGGTCGGCCCCAACAGGGTCGCTGCCGCCCACAGGGTCTCCCACCCCATGAAAGAGCATGTCTTACAGGGCGGGCATCCGCACGAGGTGCTGCGCAGCGCCGTCAGTACCGCCCGCCGCGCTCGCGCCGAGCTCCCGGTCGCTTTCCCGCGGCCACGCCGCGGCGCTGTGTTGCCGCCCTTCTTCGCTGATTCTGCCGCGCCTCTGCTGATCCGTGATCATCATCATCCACTGCAGGCCTGCCAACACCAGAGAGGGGTGGGCCCGCAAAAACCAAGCAGACGCAAATCACCGACGACCCCCTGCAGGATAATATCTGGGAAGTGAAGGGGAACAAGAACATCCAGAAAGCATGGAAGATTTGGGCAATCGCTAGGATTACCCTGAGATCTTACGGCGGAAACAATGGAAACATCATAACAAATCACGGCCGGCGCCCTAGGCCCCATCTTTCTGCGACATTGTTCGAGCCGGATCGAGCCGTGAGGGTCCCAGGGTCCGAAGCTTGACGAAAAAGCGCCCGGCCCAAGATATGGGGAATTTTCGTGGGATTCGTGTTTCTTTATGTGCGGTAGGTTCTCGCCGCGTCGACCAGCGGACGACGACGACGTCGACGTCGTCGGCTTCGTCTTCGACGTCGTCTTGGCAACGGCCCGATGGAGATGTCATGGAAGACCTTCCGACCCAGACCCCCTTGAGGCATGAAAAAATTACGACGGGCGGTGTTTCACCGTTTTCGGCCTCGGGGAAGCCCTTCCTGGGCCTCGGGGCCGTCACAAGACGATTCGGGATGGCGAACGGGTCCTGGGGAATGGGTCGAAACGTCTGAAGGCCGACGTTGCGAACAAATCATGACGTCGGGGGTCTGGGATGGGGGTGCGATGGGTTGGGGGAGTCGTGGGCGACAGACATATCAGTATCCGCGGCCTGGGGGGCTGGGCCCTGGGGCCGCGACCCCGCGGATGCGGGGCTCTCTTGTTGAGGATGCCCCGCGCGGGGCGTATCCGTGCGAGCGTGTATCCACGGGATCGCGCCTCTGAATCCAGACCGCGAGGTTGCGGATATGGACACGTTCTCCGCTCGTGAGGGGGGTGAAACAAGTTTCACGTCTTGTGCGCCCAAGGGGCCTTGAAAGTGGCTTCCTGGGGCCCCAGAAGGGCACGAAGGGTGCACGCTCCCTCCCCGCACCCTCTGCCCGATTCGATTCCGATGTTGTGACGATCCGATGCGGCCCGGTGCTTGCATGGCGCTGTCGTGCACCCTATCACGGCCAACTCGATCCGATGCCGACTCCGTCACGATCGGCCCGATGCGACGCACACTCCGAGCTTATCCGATCTCCCCGCTCGATGCTGGCCGAGTCTGCCCCTTCCCCTCCCAGACCGCGAGGACTGGTGCGTGCGCAAGCGCTGGGAGGCCCGGACCCTGGTCGACTGGATGCTGGCCCGCTGGGGCCTGGCGGCCCTGTGCGCCGGGGAGGGCGTGCTGGAGGCCCTCCTGCGGCCTCCCTCTCGCAGCCGCCGCCGTCGACGTGGCGCACTCCAGGAAAGGACTTCGCTTCTATCTGGGCCTCCCAAATGCGGTCCGAGTACAGGTGGGGTCGGAGGATCACGCCGCATCACCGATGCATCGGCGATGCGGATCGACGTCGCCGGTGAACCGCCGACGTCGTGGCCGCCATGGGCGCCGTAGATTGCCGCCTGGCCTGCGTCGTTTCGCGGCCGTCGTGGCTGCCGTAGCGGCCGCGGCTTCCAGGCCCCACGCTTCGCCTTGGTGTGGTTGTCGTAGACACCGCTGCCGCCGTAGAGTTCGTAGCTTGCCTTCAGGTATGCTTGGCCCTGCTGCCAACGTCTCCGCCGTGGCCTCCGTGGCCGCCGCAAGCTGGTCACAAGCCATGTTCTCAGTGTAAACCGTAGGCGGTGTTGCGTTTTCCTCAGCTTGCTCCGCTTCGTACTGCTGTTGCCGCTGCAGGCGTGCTGAGATACAGCTTTCTGTGTCTCGTAGAATTGGCATCCGCTGTAGTTGTCGCCTCATTTGGCCTCTGACCTGCTTCACTCTGTGGCCGCCGTGGCCCTCGTGGATGCTGCAGCCTCATCTACATCCTTTTGCGCCCGCTGCCTTCCCCTGGGCGCGACGCCGACACGGGCCCGAATCCGAATGCGTGTGTGTGTGTGTGTGTGTGTGTGTGTGTGCGTGTGTGCGTGTGTGTGTGTGTGTGTCTGTGTGTGTGCGTGTGCGTGTGTGTGCGTGTGGTGCGGGTGTGTTGTGTGTGTGTGTGTGGTGTGTGTGTGTATGTGTGTGTGTGTGTGTGTGTGTGTGTCTGTGTGTGTTGGGGGGGGGGTGTTGGTGTGGGGGGGGGGTATGGGTGTGGGTGCGGGTGTGGGTGTGGGTGTGGGTGGGTGGGTGGGGGGGGCGGGGGGGCATTTCTGCTCCTGCTGCTGGGAGGAGTCGGAGGAGGAGAAGGAAGAGGTGGAGGAGAAGGAGGAGGAGGAAGTACCTGAGGAGAAGGAGCAGATGGAGCAGGAGAAGGAGGAGGGACAGAGTAGGAAGAGGGGCAGGTGGAGGAAGAGGAGGATAAGGAGGAGGAGGAGGCGGTGGAGGAGGAAGTGGAGGAGGAGGAGGAGGAGGAGGAGGAGGAGGAGGAAGCTCCTCCCTCTGTGGATCGCGCCATCGAGATGGGATGATCTTCCAGCAGAGGGGCGGCTCGGCAGTGGGCGAGTCGACGGGGTCTGCGCGTTGTTGGGACTAGTCGTGATCGCTGTGACCTCCGTAGTCGCTGTTGCGCCGTGCCCCCCCCCCCCCCCCCCCATTTCGGCATTTGGGGGCCATCGCCAGGCCTCGTGAGCGCCAAAAATCGGCTCAGGACGAAAAATCGGTCCTGCGGAAGTGGTCCGGACCTCCAGGGCCCATGCCTCGAAAGAATTGGAGCAGCCGGATGTCTGGGATCACATGGATGAGATCAGGAATCGAAATCGGACCTGACATGAACCACCCCAGGGGGGCGCCCGGGACAGACCTACTCATGAGGGCATCCCCGAGAACCAGACCGGCATCAGACCGACATCTTACCGAAACCAAGCCGAAGTCATCCGAGATCAGACCTGCCAGACGTTCTCCAGAGGCGCCCGGGGGGGAACCTCCTCCCCCTTTCATCCTCCTCCGCCTCCTCCTCCTTCTCCTCCTCCTCGTACCCCCTCCTCCTCCTCCTCCTCCTCCTCCTCCTCCTCCTCCTCCTCCTCCTCCTCCTCCGGGCTCCTCGCTGGGCTCCTGCACGCCGTCCCTCGTGCCGGCCTTCTTTTGGGGCCTCTCCTGGGGGCCTCTCGCGGGCCTGTCTCGGCTGCCCGGGGGAAGTCTTCGAGCGAGGTTCGAAACTTCGAGGCCGTCTTGGGCGCCGGTCCGAAGGGTCAGAGGAAGAGGTAATCATACATCTACCGTGAAGTGGTTTTCCTTTTTTTGGGGGGGTCCTGGGTGACATGCCCGACTTCACTCTACCCCTCCATCGGTTTCCCCTTTTTGGGCCTCCTGGGAGGCCCTCGTCGCCACCGCTGGATTCGCCTCGAAGTCCTGGTCAGAACCGACCCTGGGAGAGGTCTGGGGAGTAGCGGTATCGGTACCTTTCGGTTCCTCCAAAGGGGGCTTGCCGGAAGGGTTCCTGCACAGTCCAAGAACGGACCGTGCGACCGCCTTTGTTTGGCGCGTCGTTGGAAGTTTGGGCCTCGTCCAGGAACGTGGGGGCGGCGGGACGAAGCATGCGTTTGTACGCAGGCGCGCCCTCAAACGCGCGAGAAGGCCCTGAAATCGGGGGACCGTGGCACCTGGCTCGTGGGCCCGAGAGCGCCTACCACTGAGCGAATCGGAGCAGAGCGGCAGAAGGAGCGACCAGGTCTGCGACAATCTTTGGAGACCACTGCGCTGGGGGTCGCGTTCCGCGCGGGGCAGGGCGGAGAGGACAGTGCCTGGGGGGCAGGGGGCGGGCAAGGGGTGGGACAGGCAGTGGGGGTTCCGCCACGCGCAGAGGGGGGGTAGGGGGACGGGGGGAAGGCTTCCTAGAAGCACCCCTGCTTCTCAGACGGCGCGGGCCTCGTCTACAGCCGTAAGGCCCGCGCCTTCTAAGAGAGTAACCCCTTTCTAAGAAGCCTTCCGCCCTCACCCCTCCCCCTTGTGCGCGCTGCCACGGGGTACTAGGGTTATAGTTTACATGATATGGAAATCGACATATGCGTATTTTTTTGCTGGAATGTGAAAAAAAATGAAAAATATAAATCAGATATGTAAAAAAATGTACAAATAATGTACAAAATATGTACAATATTTCAACATGCATTTTCTGATATATTGTAGATGTGTAAGGAATTGGTTCTGATGCGCATCTATTTCTTCACGCAGCGCATGCCCTTTCAACGTCTATCCGCCAGGTCTTGCCCGGAACACATGCAATGATTGTCTTCGACAACGGATCGTCTCAGACCACGCCCCCGTCTTTTCGCCCTCGAACCCTCAGCGGGGATGGGGAAGGTGATGGGGGGGAGACAGAGAGCGAGGGAGAAAGAACGAGAGATGACAGGAACTACATTATATAACGAAAGGGAGCGATGTATGTGTAACATGAAGACATGCACATTTTCATATGAGTACGGGGTAGGGTACGACGATGATTGCGTCGCCGCCGCCGTCGTCGCATGGGCCGTCAGCGTCGTCTTCACCCTCGCTAGCGTGACCGCGTTCGTTCTTTGATTCGTCATCGTCGACGTCGTCGTCGCGTTCTTCCAGGAGGCCTTCAATTTGCAGGCGGGGCGTTTCGTGCCCCCGCGACCGACCGTGCCTTTCACCTTCTCCCTCTTCCGTCTCGTTGTCCTCTTCCTCCTGTTCATCGCGTCTCGGTCCTCCTAGCCTCTAGCAGCTAGAGGCTAGGAGGGCCAATGCAGCTAGAGTCTAGCTGCATTGGCCCTCGGGGGTTTCGCTCGCATCAGGGGTTCTGTCGCGTTCGTTTTGCCCGTCGTCTTCCAAGTCCCGAGTCGTTGTCGTTGATTTCGTCGGCGTCGCATCCACCGTCGTCATATAACGCAAATGTTCCAACGCAGAGGCGCGGGTGTAAATGGCTCGGGTAATTGTGAGGAAGTTTCAAGCGAGAGCACAGGATGAGTGAAGTAACCGCGCTGCTCGCTTACTATATTATAATCTATGATCCTCCCCAGTTTGTTCTGCGTGGGCGCGAGGATGTCGGCGCGTCGCGCATGGCGTGGAGCTCTTGCATTCGGCGACAGAGTCGTTGGATGATTGGAATGCAGCGGCCCAGCGTCACTCCCATGTCCTGCGATTTCCGACAGCCGCCTGCGGTCGCGGCGGCATAGAGTCTATAGTATATAGTATAATATAGAGCATATATGGCATAGAGTCGAGCATACAGCGGATAGATAGCAGATAGCGCCCTCCCCCCCCTCTTTGTCCGGGAGGGCCATTCTGTTCAAGTGTTTCACAATTGCATGATGAATTCCCCACAGCCCCGTGCGTGGATTGGCGAGGCCAGCCCAGACCCTTGGGCCCCAGCATCGCCCACGGCGTCAGATGTCGGGCGACCTTCGCCGTTGCCGTTGCCAGGCGCAGAGTTCTCGTCGCCAGCCCACTCACTGCCGCGCCTCTCCTCACCGAGCCCTGCCGAGCCGACGGGATGGTTGAACTCGAGCCCGATTGGCGCACTGGTTCCGAGGCCGAGGGGGCCCTCCAGCCCGGGCCCGCGCATCGTTGCGCCCTTGGCCCGCAGGGGTCGGCCTCCCATTGCAAATGCAGATGGTGACCCTGGAAGCCCGCGCCTTCTAATCCCTCGGACTCCACAGCAATATCTCTCGGCCCCGGGCGAGGGTGGTCTCCTGGATCTGATGCGGCCTGCAGGCGAGTTGGTGCATCGGACATTTGCCTCCTTGTTCAGCGATCGCAGTTTGGAGCCTACAGAGCACACCATGAAACTTGTTGATTATTTCCTCGGCGACGTCGGTCGCCCAGCTGCTGCAGTGGACGTCGATGCGAGATTACTCAGCGTGCCCCGAAGAGACGCCACCAATTTGCCGATTCAGATGGCGGCGGTCGCACATTATGGAATCCGCACTTTTCTCAGCAGTTTGTGTTCTCATTTTTTATATTTGGTGAACAGGTCCCAAATAAAAATGATATCGGTTGGTACATTCATGTCTTACGACGAGACGCCTCTGACGTTTCAGAGTCCAGACATGTCAGAATGCGTGCGACAGTTCTTGGAAATTGCGTTGCCAGAACCACCAGGCGATGCTGACACAGATGAGAAGCACAACAAAAAACAGAAGCGAACACACAAGCAGACATGCAAAGTCATACAGTCAGATCTCCGCGTGTCGTTCATTTTCTTGGATTACGTCAGCCATCGAATATTCAACTTGTCCGTCCCAATTCCGAACCCATTGCAACAGGCCGATCATGTCACCGCTGAAGTTCTCATGAGATTCATTCGCGAACAGATG